CATATTTGTGTTACAGGTCTATAGTAATCCAATACTTTATCCCCTGACATTTTGCTTTGCTTGAATTGTGAATTGGACATTCCATCAAGTAAAGACGAGCAGTGAAATTCGCCTCGATTGCGGCCAGTGTTTCTGATGGGATGAGACTCCAGGTCCTCCGAGATTTTCTAAAGACGTACTTGTCAAACGTGGCCATGCCCGCTCCCAAAAATTGGGCTAAGATGATGAAGGACGTTCATAACTGTTCGTCTACGTCATCAAGCAACTTTCAAGGACAATGAATTAGGTTGAAGATTTATACTATGAGTCTGACGAAGAGAAATTACACATCATTACAGATCGACAAGTTTCGCGAACGGGAGAAGTCATTCTGAACAACAACATTTAATAGTCACGCCGCAAATGAAGAATTAGTCACTTAGAAAGAAAATTAGGGGTTAAAAACAATCCATTACGAGTTACAAATTAGTTTTTTTTGTTTCTTTGTTCTTAAGCGCAAAGCTATACAATGAAGCATTTTGTGCTCTGCTCATCTTGGGTATCCAAACCAGATTTTTTAGCGTTATAGGCGCTCATATTTATTATAGGCTTCGGGAGGGTCTGTAAATTAGTGTCCCCCGGAGGAACAGCGGTATGTTTACAACGCTAAAATCCGGAGTTCGATTTCCCGCATTGGATACAGCAGATAGCCCAATGTGACTTTGCTCTAAAACAGACAAACAAATTATAAAATAGCTATTACACATAATATATTTATATTGAATGTGTCGCATTTGACACACAATGTAATAGTTTTTATTTGGAAAGTTTCTAGGTAGCGCTTTTGATATTTTAAGCCGGAAGTTAATTTCACCCGGAAATGACGAAAAGTCATCAGCTACAGTATAAACATGTTTGTTTGTTGTTAAGCGTAAATGTACAGAATAAACTATCTGTGCTGTACCCAGCGCAGGCATCGAAACCCTATTTTTAGCGTTATAAGCCCTGACTAACCGCTTAGTCACCAGGGGGTGGACAAGTATTAAAATGATAGTATCATTTTATTTTCAGCGCAAAGCTAAACAATTTTCTACTTGCGCCAAATCAACCGAGGGGAACCGAACCCCGGATTTGAGCGTTTTAAGTCAGTAACGTTACCACTGATCCTGTAGGAGACTATAAAGTATGCACGGAAACAAAATTGCTGATGACGTGTGTTTTTGGATTTGCTTTCCAAAATTCGAAGATATATTACATTACGTCCCCCTGTAGCACAGCGGTAAGTCTGCGGGCTTATAACGCTAGGAACCGGGTTTCGATACCTGTGGTGGGTACAACACAGATAGCTCATTGTGTAGCTTTGTGCTTGACTCCATCAAACATTCGACTCTGTTGAGAATCAATACTAAGATCGATCGATCTTCGAAAACTGAAATCGTTATGATCAAGTTATTACTAAGCTTTCATAATTTTTCGTATATTATAGTTTTCGGTGAATAAAAACGTTGAAAAGTTTTGTTACTTGTGGTTCAAACAACTGAAAAAACAGTATTATTTTTAACCCAATTTTTATCTCGTCTACCTGTCTGTAATTATCAACAATTACTTTTAAACACAGGGCAATAACTTTTTTTTGAGATTCCAATCACTTACCGCAACAAACTTTTGTGGTTTCACTACCCCCTCTCCCCAAGAACTTTTTTTTTAATACATTAAATGGTGTGTATTACCTCGTACAGACAGTCAAAGTTTGGTTTTTGAATTAAGCGCAAAGCTACATAATAGCCGCTATCCGCCCCTGGTGGATCAGGAGTAAGTGCCATAGCTTATAATGCTAAAATTTGGGTTTCAATACCCGTGGTGGGCAGAGCACAGATAGTGTCTATGATCATGGTACCTGGAAATTGTCGGCTGTAACTAATAATAAATATTGTGCCAAACAAAATACTTGGGATTTTGTGTTTTTCAATCTAAATATCTCAGCACAATGTGCCTGAAAAGAAACTATATTTCTATCACTTGAAAGCTGAGAGAACGTGTTTCTCGAGTCCAAGCACCCCCATCATGATTGTAGTACTTGAAGGTCTCCTTGTCCTTAATTTCAGGCATAGAAACGAAAGTCTTAAGTCACTTGTTAATCAAAATTTACCACAATGGAATTCCATTGGTACCATTTTCTGTATTCTCTGTATTCATACTTAAGATATATATATATATATATTAATCGATCTGGGAATAAAATGTTATACGTTGCACAAACCGATTCCGTTAAAGCTCTCCGGTTTGGGATGAAAAAAAAATTATAGAAAGCATATTTTATTTCTATCAAACATAAAAAACAAAATGAAATATTTGGTGTTACGGAGGATCAATCTTATAATGTTTTTTAAAAAAAAACAGTCAGCTGCGTTGCATTCACGAGATTCTGTTTGTTTTTAAGGCTTTTAAGTTTTTTATCATCCTAAAACGCTCGTGTGTGCTGCTTCTGTTTTCCAAAATGGTTTTGTTTTTTGTTTGTTGTCGAGAACAAAACTACGCGATGGGCTATCTGTGCTCTGCCCACCGCGAGTATCGAAATTGGGCTTTTAGCGTTCCTGTTGAGCCACGGGGGTAGGGTGAGGCACTGTACTGTCACGTTTTAACATTAGCGCAGCATCACCGTACTGTCATGTTCTAACATTAGAGCAG